AAGCACATGGACCTGGTGCGATCCGGAAAGTTTTAAGAGGACCTGCGGTAGCAGTGTGTTAGTACGGATGGGTGACGAGCTCATAGAACAACGCGCGTTTTCTTTCTATGCCATGACATCCTCCAAAAGTGTTCGCGGGCCAAGCTGAGAAAATCCTGTCTAACGAAGGAATTCGCTACTCTTTTACTTCGGGTTGTAGATTACGCGCCCTAATTTCAGTACCCGGGCGCCGCACTTGCGCGCTCCAGTGAGAAAGATGTGCGCCAAGGCTGGCTGTTTATTTGAACAAACACTTGTGGTTATTTCCCACTGTTGTTCTTTTGTATGGTGTTGTTTACTGTTGCAGTCGCATTACAGTCAGTTGATTACACACTTCTTCCATCACAAATTGCTGCAATTAAAGTTTACTCTCCTCCTGCTGCTGGGAGTTTAATTCTGTTTACACAATCGGTAGTAGTTGCACCTGCTTGTGGGTGATCGTTGAATCTGTTTGGCAACTTCATCTCGTTTTGGGGCTCATCCAGTAAGGGGGGGGGCATTGTGATGCAACGTCAAGTGGCTGCCCTCACCCCCACCCCTAGACTGCCTTCACTCCCCCTGGCTTACGGGTTCCCGTACTTCGAGAAACCGGTGCGCCAGGGGCAGTGTAGGGGGTGGGGGTGAGGGCAGCCACTTGATGGCCCCCCCCTTACTGGATGAGAACCCCCGTTTTGGTATAGTATCCATCTCCTGACCAGAAGCTCTCGTAAATTCCATGTTTACGATTTTTCTTTGGAGCTATTCAAAAAAAAATCTCGAATAACCATTTGAAGAAATGGTTAGCGTAACTTCTAAACTCTTTATGTACTTAGCTATCTCTTAGTGCATGAGTAATAACGAAATCGTTCCATTTCTTATCAACTTTAGGATCGTTGCCTCACAACTTGAAAAGGCTCACACTTAACGTTAGATTAATCTTTAAAAAAAAGGGTTCACATCTCCTACATTCGATTACGCCTTAGCAAATCACTCCTGTTGACCAATTCACCATTCCTAATCGATTACTTGTTTACTGTTATGCGTCGTTTTCATTGTTGTGTTGGTAGACCACTTCGTAGCTGGCGCGTGAATGCGGCTTCATTTGTTGTTTCGGTTTGAATTTGATGTTCCTCTTATACCGCGTTGCCTTTGGATAGGTAAAGAAAGAACAGTCAAGTAGAGGGAGGGTTAAAATCTTCTGCATGCTATCTAACCATGGCCATAATCACCTGTATCAATGTCGTCCTGTGGGTCATTGAGTTCCTCAGTAGCCACTTGAACAAGCGCCAGCAACAACTTCATTCTTCCCTGTCGCATGCCTGTTCTTGTGATTTTTCTCCATCTCTCAAAACAAGGCCGTTCATTCCTTTATACAAAACTTTTGCGAAGAAGTTTGATCATCAGGCCGACGTTCGTCCTAGTGTTCGCTTGACGTTCCGAGAACCTCAGTAACCGTTATGTGTTCAACGGATCCCGCAGGATCATATCCTTTCTACCTGATTCTGATTCCTTACACACGCCAGCCATTCCTGACCTCAACCGGTCGTACGAGTTCGGAGCTCCCTTCTGTGCTTGCAGCTCTAGAAAACTCCAAGCGCCATTCTTCCAACAGCGCGTTGGACAGCGCTGGCCTCTGGTCAAGCTTGTACAATGTACAAGTCTCTGTAGTGTACGTTAACGGGAAGGACATTGTGAAGATTTAATGAGCAGTATTTGGCTGTTTGAGTTTGAACCTTGGACTTTCGCCGACTGCGCTCATTTCCCGGGCGGCATGATTTCATTAACTATGAATGCTGTCTCCTGAGCGGGCGGCGCGGTCAGTGGTGCTATTATGTTCAAAGTTTTACTTGGGATCACTCGCTTAGAGTGACTGTCAGTAATGCCACTGCCTAAATGAAGCCCGAAAGTGAGAAGTCATATTGCCGAAGCCGGAAGAGAGTATTTCAGAGCGGACAACGAAGCAGCCCTTCCACGTTGTCGTTCTTTCATGCTTCGCCACGGTTCCGCTACATCACCCGCGTTGCAGGAATGCCACAAATAGTCCATCCAACCACTCTTCCTTTATCAGTCTACAATTCCTTTCAGGTTTTCTCGCCCTCCTGGCGTGATTCTCACTTTTCATCTTCACTTCTATCATGTGTATGAACACTTCCTCTTCAAAACTTGAGGGGCGCGGAAGGCAGAGCGCATAGTCCTGACAGGGCCCTCGTCCTTGTTTGCAAATTAGCCGACTGTGGAAGGAGCTCGAGCGCAGAAACATAGTTTTTAACATGTTTGAGGGTTTTTCATATGAGTGAGAGCACCCACACTCACGTGATTTGGATTGTGCTATTGCCTTCCTTGCTACTCCTCTTACAATTGTTGGCGCAAGACCCTCATTCTATTCCAGTTCAACAGTCGATAGCGTGCGCATCAGTGACGTTATAACCTTTATAACTCATTTAAGTGAATCGGAGTAAATTAATCTTATAGGAGAGGTTAGTAGAGGAGAAGAACGAAGGTTTTCCGAGTGAAGCATGATAGCATGGTGCTTCGCAGCCAGTAACGGCGAACCATCAACGGCTGTAGAGCGAATTGATCGATTTGCTTCTACCGATTCGCAAAAGTCTGACATCGACCTAAGTCGGTAAAGGTAACAGCACAGCTCTTCCCCTCGGACACGCCTGACCCCATGTGGAAGACATGATGACGGCAATTCATTTGTAGTGGAATCACTACCGTCACCATTTGATTTTCCTTTCCTAAATGTACTCTGTGGCTTCATCGAGCTGCAACTGCCTCTTGATCGCTGTGAGTATGCAACCAGTGTTCAAATTCCCAATACCTCTATGTTACGGTAACTCCGCCTACTCTTGAATTAGCTCTGGAGAAGAGAGTCTCGCATTTTGGGTTAGGACGGCTCCTCCTAGGCCCGATGTCAGACTTTGCGAATCGCGCGATTCGCTACTAGCGATTCGCGCGATTCGCTAGCGTCCGCGGTCGCGTTGCGGTACCAGCCAATTGAGTGATTCACTGGCCGCGACGCGACCGCAGACGCTAGCGAATCGCGCGATTCGCAAAGTCTGACATCGGCCTTAGCGACGCCTCACTTGCCACCCTTTTTCTCATCTTTTATCACTATCAGCTTACGCTCTAAGTCATCCTAATTAAACTGATAAATAAGCAATAAAAGTGCAGCGATTTTCGAAGCCTAGAGCCCTTACGTTTACTCTCAAGGAGCACACGCGTTTTCAGTTTATTTCGCTTTGTTCCTGTTCTATCCTTCCATGACATTATTAATGTCCCCTAAAAGTGTAAGGCGCTCCTGAAATACAGCTGTTTTAGTTTAGATGAAGGTTTCATAGCTTTTCACATATTTTGTTGAATTCGTATTAGATTACAACACACTATAAACATTTTTATAAAGAAATTTGGAAAATCTCCGTTTTAAATGTATTGTATAAAAGCACTTTGGACAAGTAGACTCCAGCAGTGAAAATTCTTCTTCCTTTCATTTCACTTGCGATTCTTTGACAGTGCAACTAAAACGTTGAAGCATATTCCTCCTTCCATGTGCTTTTTCCAGTTAGGGGGCATCATGGTGCGGTGACTCCCAAAAAGCTACGGTAACTCTGAGCCAGGGGGAGTGTAGCCAGCCTAGGGGGTGGGGGTGAGGGCAGTCACTTGACATGCGTGAGAAGCTGGAATGTTCGAGTTTACATTAGCTCGCCGAGAAACTGCATCATGATGCCCCCCCCCCTAACTGGAATAGACCCGCATAATTTCTATATTGTACTCCTCGCTATTACGTCTGTATTTCAGGTAACATGGCAGTCTAGTCCTTTAGTTTGTGCAAGAATGGCTTCTGTTGATGTTCAGCGACGACGAAGATGTCAGCAGACACGCAGCTGTGCTGGACCAAGTTCACGACACTATTATTCACAGCAAGGTACTGGTTCAATTTGTTATTTTCATATTATTATTATTATTATTAATGTCATAACCACTTCTATATTTTTAACTGTGAAAAGTTTCGCCGTCTTGAGTTATTTACTCATTTGAGCCGCTTCATTGCAAATACAGCACAGTCGCCTCCTAACACGTTGACGACAACGCGAGTTTTGGCCTTTTTTGCCACGTGGGACCGGGTAGATTTTGCGGCGCGGCCGCCTCAGGTCGTTCAAGCAGATTTTGAGTGATAAATACATAAATAATGATCCATACAAACCCAGATCAGTGAACTGTAATGAGCACAACCTACCCAGATGGTACAGTAGTGGAAGTTCGATCGAAGGACATGGAATAACAATGCAAAAGCGACGTTTTTCAAGAACTAGCTGCAATGGACCTCAAAAGCAGTTTTACGTTAATTATTCTAATCCTCGACACACATATTGTCACCCTAATTAAATCTTCCCATTAATAAAAAGAAAAGTAAACGAAAAATTTACAATGAAGATTTGTATATTTCAGAAATCCTCCTCTAAATTAAAGTACATACGTGACCATTCTAAGGGCCACTATGTTTGTAGCTACGTCAAGGTCTCTTCCATGGAATGAATACAAGAAACTTCTAAAAGAATCAGGCGTGCGCGAAAAAAATGAGTGTAATGGGTGCGGGGGATATATATCCCGCACGGTCCGACATGGCCTGCAATGCGCGGGATATATATCCCCCGCGTTGTCGTCAATGTATAATTAAAGGCACAAACATCACAACCGCACCGGAATGTTTTAAAAAATAATGTGAACATGACAAGAATAAGCATAAAGACAAGAGTTGATGAGCAAACATTTCATGTGATTTGATTTCTGTGACAATTTCCTCAAGTACTCGTTTCTTTCCAGAAGTGGTCCTCAAATTCCGTGGCCGCAGACAACTCCAAAGAGAATCAATCGCGGTATGGTTACTTTCGTGGCCTCTTTTTTTTCAAAAGTTGCGACGAGCCTACTTTTTCTTCTAGAACCACATTGGTTTCCCTTGAGAATGATCCAGTTTGTCGTCGTATCTTGGCAGAGAAACGACGTCCACTGGGAGATGTTTTCATCCTTCCCATGACGAAACCTGCTAGCGATGGAAATGAGTATGAATTTTCTAGCGATACAGAAAAGGGGAAGAATCAGGTAATTCCGAATAGGGAATTTTCTGATGAACAAACATCTTGGACATTTTCTTTCCTAGGATAGCACCCCTACTCGTTCGATGGATCGTACTCCCTCAGCCAATACATCTACTGCCCCTCAAAGCCGGCGTTCTACAAGAAGCAATTCGGTGTCTTCTTCAAACACTCCACGTCTTTCTTATCGCAAGCGAACTCGTCTCAGGAGACTGTTCAAAGCTTCAGTTTATGCTAGCTTTTTCTATTCATGCTTGTTAATTTCTTTGTCAACACTGCCTTGATAACTCCACGTTGCAGTGAAACTCGGCAGTCTCAAAGTGACGATGATCAAGAGTTTATTCCTTCGCTATCCATACCAGAGTATGAATCTTTACTAAGAGAAAGGCCTGAATCGAAAATGAGTTTGCGTCCCCGGAAAGGTTGGTTCAAGTATTGAAGTATTAATATTATCATGTTAAGTACCGTGAGCTGCCCAAATTTTTCAGGAGAAAATGACCTTTATTATGAAATACGTCAAAATTGCCACCTCCGTTGCTTTCATGTATTGACCAAATTATTTCCATTCACTGGTTAATGTTGATTTCAACCATTTGATGTTAATTTAATGTGTATGTGCTCCCTTGAAAATTACCAAAAGCTGCAGAAAATTTTCTGTGCTCTCCCCTCATGTATTCTTGTTTCCTACCGGCTTGGTTCCGCCCACTACGCGTGCGCCATACGAGTATTCAATGATATTGAACAAATCGTCTGAAATTTCAACTCTGGCTCCACTTCTGCTCCTGCGCACACCGTCCACTTCAGTTTTTGAGGTGTTTGAGACATTTGCAAATTTTGTATTCTAGCTCTGCCCACCTTGGTGCGCATTCCATCCGCCAACAACTAGTGGTGTTCCACTTTTCTGCAACCGCTATCCATTTTTACTTAGCTTGGAAGGCTCGGAACGGAATCATTGGGGTTTGTAGAAAAGCTACCCGCTTGAAGGCAAAGTTCTAGACATATTTTGTGCTTTGTTCCCAGTTTGTAGCCATCTACAATTGACACCTCTGAAACGATGAGTGTTTTTAAGTATTTCTTAATATTTACTTCTTCGAAAGTTGTTCTTGGAAAGCTCTTATGTATGATATATATCTTTGTGTTCTAAACAAGGTGTGGCCTTTAGAGCTCTGGACTGATGAGGATGAACTGCCACTGTATGACATTCAGTCGATCATGCGTATGGATAGCATGGATAATGAGATATGCTCAAAATCGGAAAAGCCCTCCGTGGAGCAAGATCCAAAGGTTTGTTTGACGAGTTTAGTTGCATTATCTGCTGTTGTTTTGTCGACATTTGGAGTAGATCTATTTCAGATGTAATACGGCTAAGGGTTTGTCCCAGTTCAGACCGTTATGAAAAGCGCCTAGATTGATTGCTGGAAGCATTGCAGAAAATGCAAGAGAAGGGGACATGGAATAATATTTTGGGTACAAAATTGTATTTGTTTGGGCGTTGTGAGCTACATTTGAATCACAGACGTGTACATGAGAAGCTAATCATATTCAGTTCATATCATTTGCTTTACTTGGCTGTTGGCTTTACTAACACGTAAAGAGCTCTTGCGACCCGAGCCAGAAAAGAATGCTCGGCCCTGCGCGGAAAAACCAAACGCTTTGGTAGGTTGTGGCTAAGGTTAAGTGCGGAATTCGTACTGCAGAAACCACAATGACAGTTACGGCAGCAGTTTCGAAATTATATTGGACTTAATTGCTCACTTATCCAGCTTGAAACCTTCGATTTTGAGTAGTTGGATTAGGCTTTGAAGTGAAGAAGGGAGTGTGTGGTTCTTATACATTGTTGAGTGACGCCCCATCTCTAGTGCACAGTTTTGAGCTGGCAGATATTCATATTTGAGACACTGTTCTGAAGTGGCTGTACTATTCAGAAAAGCTGCTGCAATGAGGACGATTGTGCTGATTTCGCTTTCCTTCCAAGCATATTTCTCTCTAAAGGGGCTGAAGAATTGACACCGAAATGTTCTCGGAGGACTCCTGGGAGAGGTAGGTGTATGTTCAATATGTAGATATCACACATTCGTCAGCTCAAGGTCGTCGAGCAATCAAAGCTCCGACAGCATAGATGTAGGACCTCGTCAGTAGATCTTTTTGAATTATTTGGTAGCTCAAAATCTTTAGATCAACTCGCCTCACGTCGGGAACAAATAGGACTTTGAAAGTCACATGTCATATGTTCCACAGTTTTGTGGTAATCGAATAATACATTTGATTGAAATAATCTTGTCCGTCTATTCAGGTAGTTCGAAGAGAAAATCGAGGCGATCCACAAGATGTGATAGAAAGGCTTCAGAAATGTGAGTTTCCTTATTTGAAAACTAGCCCTGATTTGATGAGAGAATGCATTAAGCGCGAAACCCTGGAGCTCGGAGCGGGGTTAAACGTCCGTTGGTAATTTACCAGCGAGAAAAGTCGCATTTGGTCCAAGGAAGGAGGGGAAGGGGTAGTATGGTCATGGTGAGGCGCGACACACGCAGGTCATAGTTTTCTAAGTATAGCAGCTGACACCCCAATCTTCTATGACGCTGAGATTGAAAATAGAGGTGACTTGTTTGTACGAACAATGGTGTCCCTTCAACCTTTCAAAATTCGAGCCTTATATCACTGTTAAATACTAATAATTTATTTTTAGGAAAACGGTGCACCCTCCTACATCTGAGAATCTGCCTTCAAATGCAAAACGACGGCACTCTGGCTCTGATACCGACATGGATGCACCGCTTTCGTTATTCACAAAGTCAAGGTTCGTTTCAATTTTCGACATCCCAGGGTTCTCTCAACAGGAAAGTCGTTTTACGCGAAGGGGACACAATGTTAGATTTTCTTCAATTTTTTTCTAAATGTGCAACAATATTCGGCTAAATAGTCGTGAACAGTCCTCCAAATAGTCAATTTTCTCACGTGGCTCTTGCTCACGTCTTCAATAAATAAATAAATAATAGACAATAAATAAATAAATAATAGAAGAAAGTCGTTTATCTCATTTGTGAAGTGGACAAACAAGATCTAGATCACTTTTCACTAGTCTAGCGCTTTTAGAAGATTAAAGAGTTGTACTCTTGCTTCGATGAAATGTTATGATCAAGTGCTTTGAAAGTATGTTCTTGTGTTTAGTAGGAGTGAACGAAAACTGACCCGTCGGCCCGCGAAGGAACCACGGCTGGAGGTTGCTGGGTCGCCTGATGGCAGCTGCCTTGTTTCCGACGACGATGTGCCGCTTTCGGGAATCAAACGTCTCTGCACTCTCCGTTCGCGACATCGCGTAGACTATTCGAATTTGGACTGGACAGAAGATTAGAAAGAAAATAAGTGGCTCTTTCTGTATTTTCTCACGGAGTACATCTCTCTTGATCTTTCTCGGCAGTTATTTAAGCAGTTCATAAAACTTCTGTGTGTCTTGAAAATTCTAATTCTTGTTGATGCCTGATGCTCACATGTTTTTCATGATTGTCTTAGCTAGCATGTTTGAGCTCACTTAAATCCCGGTACAAGTAAAACACGATCTACTTGGATGTTGATCTCGTGAATAAATTATGTTGATTATCAGTGGTTTCGAGTTCATTGATCGTTGGGGGTTGTACAGCTCCCTCTGCCTTCACTCATTTACACTTTTGCCGCGGGTCGTGACTTGCACTCTGTTCTATCACTGCAGATGTGTTCCTTGTTTAATGTCGTTTGTCTCTATGATTCGAGCGCTTTCTCGCTTAGGTGACCCAACCAGCCGGCTGGACTGAGGTCCCGAGATTATCGAGCTCAAATCCGAATGAGACCTCCCCGTTCAACCACATCCACTGAAGCAGGTATTACATTTCTTCACTAACGTTCTTGTTTCTTTTAAGAAACTGGATCGTGTTTATTTCCGCAATGACTAATTTGCTGGCTAAACATATCTATCTTTCAAATTAGGAGTAAATAAATCGATTAGCTCAGGTGATAAACCACGCTGCGGTTCCAAAACTTAGTTTTTTTTACCTTTACATAATTCTTGTGCCGTAGGGGTTGTTTGGAGGAAACTATTAATCGTGAGGTGACGGTAACGATCGTCTTCCTCAAAGGCCTGAACGAGGCTCAAGGCATAGGAAGTGCCTTCCAAACCACCAAACGCCTTTTCCTAACGTTTCTTATGAATGCTTAAGTATAGCAGCGAAAACCAAAATTTTTTTTATGTTCATATTTATAACTAACCATGTAAATAGTTCGGTACCGTACCACTCGGAGCGAAGGGTGACCCCAGTCTGAAAGAAACTCAAAACTAAAACGAGCTTCTTTTTCTCGTGTTTTGGCCCTTTGTTCGACTCTCTTTTTAACTGTGAAAACTGATTTTGAAGCGGCAGTGGGGGATAACGTTTTTATAGTCAAGCACTTTATCATTCACTAGTTGAGGGTGCGACCAGTTTCCGTCCGAAAATTCTAGAAAGTAGAATTTATTGCAACAAGGAAGCTGTCATACGAGCGAATTTTTGTGTTATCATAAAAGCACGCCGTCTGGCATGATCTCATCAAGAACCCACCTTCCCGGAAAATTTGCTTAATAGCGCATCATTTGCATCACGAACTAAAGCGGAAAATGACAGAGATCGGGCAAACTTCAGGCCATTTCTGTCTACTGTGAGTCAGCGTACTTTAGTAGATCAGTATCATGAGGCTTGCACGCTGTCGGCGGACTGACATTGACAGCAAGCAAGCCTTCTCCTTCACCTTTACTTACCTTAGCCATTTCCTTCACTAAAGCCTTCACTGAGAGTAGTTTTAATATGTTAAGCGTGACTAATTTCTATTCGCGTATGCGAAGTTACGGTATCGCTCAATCTCATTTCATAAGCCATTGTAATTCTGGTTTTGCTGAAAAAAGCTCGTCTTCCTTATTTTCCTTAATAATTACGTGCATACCTATACATTGCAGGTATGGAAAACATTCAAAAATCGTTAGAAGGGCTGAGCCTCGAGGAAAAGGTGGCCAAACTTGTAAAGCGACTTGCTGATAGCGAAGAGCATAATGTGAAGTTAAAGGAAAAAGCAGCTCAGGTAAGTGTCCTTCAGTATATTGTAAAAAAAACCATCTTGGATGTTATTGAAAAGGCTAGGAACTCCTAAATCATTATTGTTTTCTTCCTTCCTTAGGGTTTTCTTCGATTTAGATTCGTTAGCCTGACTTTAATCTTCCAACGCTTTTTGAAAGTCATTTAGTAACGCAGATTCCATGTCACTTTTCTGAAGAGATGATATTTCTTCTTTTTCTGAGATTATACTTGTCCTTCGTTTTACTTGTGCAGTGTCATATTCATGCGTTTAGATTTCCAGCTATTTTCTTTGCAGTAATGTATTCAGAACCTTTCTACAGTTGCTAACTCACGAAATCCAAATGTTTTGCTTTTTATTCAAGGTTGACAAGCTAACCAAAGTTAATACAAATTTGGAAAAGAAGCTGGAGAAGGCTAACCAAATTCTGTTAAAAACAGAGGATGCAAAAGGAAAACTTGAGGATTTGTGTCGAGAGTTGCAGAAAATGAATAAGCAGGCTAGTATTTTTTTGCTTCTATTTTCTTTCAGTTCTATTTACCTGCCATGGTTGTGGCACATAACCTCAGCTTTTAACTACAAGTGTAATGTCTTCAGATTCGCGAAGATAGTTTGAATAAGGTTCGTCTGCTCGAGCACGAACGACATCAACTGTTGAACAACTTCGAGGAGCCCTTAAGGTGACATATAGAGTCCCCAATGAAATTTTGGTTTTATTCATTTCTTATCGCAACCGTAAATTATTATTATATTCGAAACTGCTTGTTCTATCAAATGTGGTTCTGATTCTCTAGGCCGAGGGAAATTCAGAAAAGCAGCCAGAGATAGAAGTGGCCACTGTCATGGAACTGGGCTGGGACTTTGTTATAGTTGCTAAGTCGCTATTGCTTATTGCGTAGATCCGATCTCTTCGCGAACCATTCAAGCACCCTATTTCACAAGGGTTGCCTGAAATGATGACTTGTCATACAGGTAATAAATAATTGCATTATGCGTTAATGCCCATTCTTTGAGTTCGCGAAACATTCCCATCAACTCCTTGAGAAACTTTATTGAATGTGCCAAAACCCTGACGGGTTTGTGCAACCGTCCTGCGCACTACTGTGATGTAATAGATTGAACGGCGTTCAATACTAGTCCTACTTCACACCGGACTGTAATCGAAGTGACGCAAGTGTACCGCACCATTAGTAGGTGTAGACTTTGCGACGAACCACTACCATAAACGATCCGTCTTTCGCTTAGCGGAATGACAATGCTGTCATGTTTAGGACATGATAATTAGTTACTGGAAGAATCAAGATGTTAGTGAGCTGTTCAGGGTATTGAAGCAAGTATGAATGAGGGGCGTGAGCGCTCCGATGCGTTAGCAGCCGATAATGGAAGGCTGGCGGAGAAGTTGAAGGAAATCGGAGAAGAAGAAGAGTACGACTGAATGCATTCACATCCACGCAGTGAAGTGACTTGCCATAAACAATTCATACTAACGATAACTTACTCGTTATGATGTTGTCAAATTTCAGTATAAAGAGAAAGACAATACTGGCAAGAATATAACAAGGCCAAGGATATTGAAATCAAACTGCTCAAAACAAAGCTAGAAGCTGCCGAAATCTTTTGCGCAGGTTCGTCAATCGCTCCCTAGGTTGCCTATGTTCTAGCATCACTGTTTAAGTAATTTTACTTTTGCAGAAATCTGCCCTAGAAAAGGAGGAGTTGACGAGAACCTTGTTGAAGGTACTGCTCGAATTGGAGGTGCTCTAGAGAATGAAAAAGCTCTACGAGAAGAGGTAGGCGTACCTTTTATCATTCAGCGCTATTTTTCATGCAGTTACGCGCCATTCTGTGCGGGAAACCATTTTCCTTTCTTCTCATTCTTATTCATGTGGAATGAACGCTGCATTGTCAAATTTACTGTAACACGTTAAGGGCGGAAGTGGTGTAGTGGCAAGTGGCACGCTTACCACGCGAGCGGTCCGGGGATCAAATCCTGGGTCGTGAGTCGCCCGGGCCAACCAAGCCTTCCATCCCTCCGGGGTCGGTTAATTGGTACCAGACTTGTCTGGGAGGATAAAAACACTGACTTGTACATCGGCTGGCCCCCGCAAGTCATTGTATAGGCCACATCGCATTCAAACGCCACTACGAATGTACAAATGGAAGTAGAATGCGTGCCGCATCCCAAAAGGGATTGATCAACGGCTTTAATCCTTTATCCTTTAACACATTAGAACGCGTTCTCGTGGGAAGGTTTATTGGAACGATTAGAGTTGAAACTAATAAGAAATGAGTAGGGTAAATCCACGTCTGTATAACCTTCCAGATACATTGTAAGACGCCTTAGTTGTTAACTTAGGAGGCTTGAATTGGCTTCTTCAGAGACGAATGTCGGGAGAGATAATATGATAGAATGCTCGTCGCTCTGATTAACAATCGTCAAAGCAATAATGGAGAATATTTTCAGGTTAAACGATATGCCGGACGATACGAGGAAATCACAAGAAGTCTTGCTGAAAGTAATGCAGCATTCGACAAATTCAAGAAGGAAATTGATAGGGTACGTGTCATTGCCAGGTTTTCCATCAGCGTTGGACTAAGATACAAGTTTTGGATGAGGAGGACCACAGAACTCAAAGGGAAATGGATTCCATGAAAGGACTATGCAAGTAGAGCAGTCTCACAAGTTATGGCTCTGGTCCCCTATCTAAAATTCAATGGGTTCTTCTTGAAACTGGAAAGCGGAGACTATTTAGGGGCATAAACTCTGATGACTTGGGAGACATAATAATCAGTTGGCTCGAATTCGCTGCTGACCAGTGGTAACAAGCTGCTTTCACAAAGCTGTTCACCATCTTGAAGGCAAAGTCGGTGATCACACCAATCCCTTCCATCACCTCTGTGCATCACTGGTTATGCACCCACTGAAGGAACCTACGCTCGTAAGTTGGAACAGCGCGGTAATAACGCCTCCGGGAAAGTATACCTAGCCATCGCCGCCTGGTGTTGTCTATGACCGCCCACCGAGGGGGTGGTGCGTGGCTGGCATAGGGCGTGAAATCAGGTGGATTGATTGTCGTATCAATTGTTGGCACGGAGCCAGCAAGGGCTGCTTTCCCGAAAACTCGTGGCCGCCAAGCAGAGTCAACCCTGCGTTGCGCAGTTCTCAACGGCCACGTTGCGCAGTTTCGCCCGATTAGACACGTTCTCTCGCGCGAACATTCACACTCGCATGCTCGAGCCGTCTGCGTCTCCGCCCATACAGCGTGCGTTGAGGATCTCTCAACGTGCCGTTGCGAACTGCGCAACGCAGGGTTGACTCTGCCCAAGCCTCGCTGTGCCGTCCTCTTCGCACTCTTTTGAGAGCGAGGTTCTATTTTCGGCTCTGGCGGCGGTTTTTCGTTTTTTCTTCACTGTCGTCCCCTTTCACATCTCTACACTCAGTTTCGAGCAGTTTCGTTAATACCCCAAATCGCCTTTTGTCTTTAATCATTCTTTCGAATACCTCGTCTCTCCCCTTCATAGCTTCTCCTGTCCCAATAGAGTAATAGATTGATTTTTTCAGCTGAAGGAATACTCGTGGTAGGGGAAAACCAGGAGCTGCGCTAGCAGTGTAGAAAACAAATCACTCCCATGTATCAGTCTGTCGTTGTGCTTGACTAAATCCTGCCGTTTATAAGAAACCCATTCCGCAGGCTCACAATAGCCCCTCAAAGGGTTGCCGTCGTAAAGCCGAATGTAAGGTTTACGGAATAGGCGTAGCATACGAAAACGGCTGTTGAAAAACCATGTTGGTGGTTCATAGAAGAAATCAACAGCAAGGTGTTGCACTGAAAAGAATCCTATAAAAATGTAATGTTGCGACGCAATCAAAGTAGAGAGAAGAGTGAACCATCGCGTTCACACTTCTTTTGAAAATTTTGCTGCCTCTCTACCCTTAGGCCGATGTCAGACTTTGCGAATCGCGCGATTCGCTAGCGTCTGCGGTCGCGTCGCGGCCAGTGAATCACTCAATTGGCTGGTACCGCAACGCGACCGCGGACGCTAGCGAATCGCGCGAATCGCTAGCTAGCGAATCGCGCGATCACATTAGTCTGTATAGTGTTCGGAAAACCTCGCGCTTACGAACACGTCTGCCCCCTATCCCGACCACCTTCCTACCAGTCGACACACCCAGCTCATTTTTTTCCTTCCAAAACAACAGTCAAGCGGGGGAGGGTGGTGAAATGGTATCACGAGGCGGCAAATCCATCATTTTTCTTTTCAATTTTACCCATCTAATCCTCAGTTACCCGTCAGATACAATCCTCTTTTTACGACCCACGTTCACATTTTTCCCAGTGGTAATTCAACCGCTCAACCCCAAGTGCGACCCTCCCCCCGAAGTCATTTATGCGATTCCCTCGTTCAACTTGTGCGAACCGGCGGTTGACCCTGGTAGAAGAAATCAAAGCTAACCATAAGGACCATTGGCAGACCTAGCGCTAATTCATACTTGTTTTTGTGAATTTACAGATCTTTGCCCAAGAGTATGAAATAGATCAATGCTTCTCCCCATGAGTTTTGTTCCATGGACGCTATTTTTGACATTGCCATTGACACAGTAAGAAATGACAGTGACTTTTTCTGTTCGCTCAAGAATACAGAAGAGTTATGCATATCAAGAATCACTGCTTAGGGTACGCGGATGCTGTTGGAATTAGGGTCGACGGTTCTTTGGTATGTTTCTATGAGGTGGTACTTTACCAAAGAGGAGATGGGGTCATATTTACAGTTATCGTGTAGTGCGATTGTGGTACGCGGGTCGCGTTTGACGAAAATTAGCAATTTTAGCGGGTTCCTCACGGAGAAGGCGTGAAATAAGCAAAATTAGTGCATTTGCCGTTATTTCAATTCCCTTGACCTCCCGCTTGACTGTAGCTTTGAACGGAATTGGGGGCGGAGTTGCTGTGTGTCGAGTGGTCTCACAATCAGAACAAGTGCGACAGAAATAGTTATGATCAGGGTGAATATCGGTCGAGGAAATCCTCGACAGGGGGTCGTACCTGTCAGGGCTGGGTCATGGGGGGTCGTACTCGTGGGGGTCAGTAACATCAGTGGTATCGTGGTGCAGATAGGAGTAAGAGGGTGTAGCGCAGCAGAAAATGAAATATGTGAAAAAATGATATAAAATATTCTTTGCAGGTTCAGTCGCTCCATTCCTCTACCTTTATGAGAAGGGCGTATTTGAAAGGCAGTACAAAGAATGTGCATCTCCGCAAGGAACGGGCCACATGTGCACACGCGCTGCAAAGGCACCT